GTGAGGGAGACAGAGAGAGGAGCTATCTTCTATCTGTTGGCTCGCTGAAATCTTTTTTTTTTTGTGCTACCCATGTGACGCTCGGCAGACAAAGCGTACGTACTACTCATATTGCGAGACCTCGCTCGTATATCGAATCAAAGTTGTTTTTGCTCGCCTTGCAAAACACTCACAAACCGGGTTACTCACAGTCCACTGTAATGCTTTTTCTGATAAGAGCTCTTAAAAAGCAGTGACACAGTGAACAGTTTCATTTTTGGTGGTGAAAGACATGAGCCCAGTTAGAGCAGTAGAAAACTCAGGTTTCAGCAGCTGATGTAAACAGTCAGCTCCAGGACAGAAATACTTTCAGCCTTCTGCAGAATGAAGGCGAAAGTGGAAGAACAACTCGACCACATCTACTAACGGACATGTGGTGTGGCTGCAGACAGAGCCCGACATGGGCAATAAATGTTAAACCACACTAGCTGCAGACAGTACCAAATCATCAATTAAAAAATAAATGACAGTTAAGAAACGGAACGCAGCTTGTGATTTATGTCGAGCTCAATCCCAAACTGAATGTAACCACTGAAAAAGGCAAAGAGTTGTCCCATAAACAGTGTTTACATTGAGCAGTACTACAGCCCCTTTCAGACACAGTAGCCATGAAGCAGCTGCTTCTTCAGTGTTTGGACAAGGAGCTAGTGTGCATGAAATGTCTAGCAAAACTTGGTTCAAACATAGCAGGGCCTAGCTGGGTACATCCGTGACGTTCAGGCGAGACAGACACAATGCCAGGCCCGATGTAATGTGAAAGGTTGTCCACAGCTACATGATGTTTGGGTGGTTGGATTTTTTTCTGCATTAGCTCACATTGCTAACCTACATCACCTCAGTTCCAACCAGTGCCAGTTCAAAAACACTTTGTAGCTCTAAATAAATAAAAAGTATCAGCACACATTGTACAGGCATCATAGCCTGCTCGACAGTGACTGGTTTAAATGCTGTGCTCAAGTACATCTTACGTAACACTGTCTGGATTTGAAGTGCGCCCTTGCTGGCACTTTGACCACTTGAGTTCAGACATGTAGCCAGTAAGAACATAGCCAAGCTCACCTACTAGGTCCTGCCAGGTAAAATCACTTTGCCAGATACAATCTTTGTTCAGCCATGATGTGAAATAGTAGGCAAACTCCTGGGTAGAAAGAGGTTCACAACACATGTCATGGATCCCTGAGGCCTCACAAACAGGTTCAATGGGGTACCTTCCACATTAATAGTAATAAATGCATAAGATTACTGGTATTTATCAAAATGACCAAGAATACTGTGATAATATGTCAGGCCCCATCACCCAGCCCGGGTACAGGAGCTCTGCCTCTGACAGACAGCATAAAATAAATCTCCAGCATCACCACACAGGAGCCACAGAAACAGCATCAGCACAGATCATAATACAGATATTTATCTCTCACATATTTATGCACCGTTGTAAAACACTTCATTCACCTGTGTGAAAAAAAAAGCCTATGAATGTACACACCAGGTGTGACACACTGGATGTAAGGGTAAGCCATAATTCAAGTTGTACTGATCACACAGTCAATTTAAACCACATAACTCCAGGTTACGGTCAAATCCCTGATTTGTGTCTCGGTGTCACTGGCTATCAGCCAAACATCACAACCAAAGTTCAGCAAACAAAAGCTGAACAAAACAATCAGAAGATTAATAATGGAAATAACTTAGCTGCAGCACAGAGGAAAATGCTTCTTAAACCCCAGAATAATGTGGAATTTCAATGAGTCAGGTTTAGATTTTTATGTCCTCGTTCAGTCTGTTTTCAGAGTTCAAACAGAATCCCACTGCGGCAGGACCCGACCATGTCATCAGTCTCCCCACTTCACAACCCTCCACAGTTTTTAACATTCAAACATGGCAGTACACATTTTTCATGCAACATAACTCCATTCTATGAATTGTCTCCCCAACATGCGCCACACATCACCAGCTTTTTGCTTCAGGTCTATCTTCTCTGGCGCACTGAGTGCAGCATCACCTCCACACGCTGCTGTTTACATCACCCAAGTCCCCAGTTATGTTCTGTTGCAAACTTCTTTTTTTTTTTTTTTACTGGTGTGTGCGTTATGATTACGTGCACAAGGCCTATATGAAAACTATTGCTGTCCAGCACACTTCAGCGTATGTCCGTCCGCTGTCCTTGCCCCGCATCAGGAGCAGATGACTGACAGCTGCTCAGACGCTGAACACCAAACATCACGTCTCGCTTTTAATTGGGTTGTGGTTACGTTGCTGAGTGAGGTACTGACAGCGAACTGTTGAGGACTTTGAAACCACAAAAAAACTTAAGACTACAACTGTCACTGAAAAATAACTAGTATTGTATTAATCCATAAAGTGTTTGGGCACCTTCAAAGAGAGAACACAGATTAGCGATCGATGGGGGGCAATGTCCCCATGCCAAACCTCTCTATACACAGGAAACACTGCTCTGTGATTGGCTGAAAACAGTCACATGACAGAGGCTGTGTTGCTCCTCCTCTCTGTGGTCCACCACTTTTGTTTACATATTTTCACAACTTAGTTCAGGAAAACTGCTCCAAAACACTCACTTTCCTTTCGCTCAGCACCTGCATTGCTGTTCCTCTGTGCGCTGTAGTCACCGCTGTTACACTGCTTTTTCATGCACTCCCACTGCTGATGCTAACATGGAGTATAATCAAAGAAAAAACCCAGATGGCTCTGTATTGGAGCACATTTCCACTTCCAAGTTTAAAGGCTTATTGCATTTAGTCACCTACACTCTCAACACCACCATCAACATCCCGCTTATCAGAACCAGTCAAACAGCCATCAGACACAGAAGATTAACCAGACACTGTCATCCGTTATGTCCTTGTGTGTTCATTCAGATATAATCCCAGAGATAAATTAGTGGAATTAAAGCACAGTATAACACTAAAGGTGGATAAAAGGCTTACTTTAGGTCAAAGGTAGGGGACCAGTAGCAGTGCAGCAACCAGTTCACCTTCAGCTAGAGCTCAGTGCATCATGCAGCAGAAATGTATTGAATTGATTCTGACTGAATGATACAGTGGCGTGAATCTTATTGTGATGTGTGCAGCTGCAGCACAGGCCCCTGGTTAGGGGCTGAGTGAGTGAGGACAGGGTTCATGAATGTCACAGAGCAGTAACAAAGTAAAACAAGCCTCAAGCTCAGCAGTGTCTATGGTTTCCTTGGACACTCTGTTATTGTATCAGTGTCAGACTGTCTGGTTAATGGTCTATGATCACAATTAAAATAACTGTGTTGGTAACATGGTTAGAATGAGCTGAATTTTTAAATATTTTATCATTTGTTACACAAAACACTTTAGATTTGTTTTGTTGCTGTGCTAAGTGAAATAAAAACACTGTTAAACTGGCTAATTTCTTTGTCAGATTAGATGATGGATCAAAAAGAATATGATGACTCGGAATTGGATC